CGGAAACCGTTCCTTCCTGTCGTGTTGTGATCGTATGAACGGTGCAGTAAAGCGCTGCTAAATGGCACTCCTAAAACACTGTTGCTTGAGTTACACTTCATTTTTCTTCTTGATCCGTGTTGTTCCCGCATGTACATACATTTTCCCTGATATTTCTCATGCGCCACCGGAATGCGTGGATGATCGGGGGTATGATTTCGATGCACTTACTGCTTCCAAAGCTTAAAGACGAATATAAAACTCAATTACTCATCATTTAATTATAATCTAAGGTGTGAGATTCAGTGGTTCGTATTCTCTCCTGAAGTTCATAATTTATATTCACATTTGGCTATTCTATAAATTCAGCATAATTTTAATCGTTATTTTAAATCTCATTTTTGGGTTGTGGTTTGCTCCTGGATTCGTATTTTTCGAGTGAGCCTGTAAGGTGATGATATCATGAGTGTAAATTGGAAATTTCCTGACTAATGACAATACCCATGAACTGCAACACTTGTACATAGAAAGCCATGTCAGTTGAACGTCGTGGAAATCCCAACAAGCAATAGTCGTGACAGCGATAAAACATTCAGTCACGGCATCGGTGTATCTTCTCTATAAATGCTGTCAATAATGTTCTATTCTTGTTTGGCATAATAGATGTCTTCACAATGATGACTTGCTATAATTTATCATGATCTCAATCTAAACATCTGTCCTTGAAGTCGATGACCCCCTTGTTCGAAGAAAGATTAAGTAGATGCGAGAAACTTAGAACATGAGCATATTCCCTAACGCCGTCAGTTCGAACGATGTAGAAGTCGAGTACAAAGACCTGTGTAGCCCGTTTTTAGGAGGAGTAAACATAATCAATCGTTTTCTGCCTACTTCATGTAACTGAAAATGTATCGACTTCTTTCGATCTCACGAATCTAAAAGTGAACGATCAATTTATGAATCAATAACGAAACGGAGCGTGATCTCTGTCACACACAATTGCTGTATATATCAGAAGTAATTGCGGAACTCCCATACATTC